TAATTGATGGAAGGACTAAAATTATGTAATTTTTAGAATTAAAAGATAAAAAAATGAAAAAAAATATATTTAAAACGAAAAAAGTGCAAATTTATAAAGTTGAGGTATCAAATTTTGTATTTAACATTTTTTTTTTAATTTTCCACGCGGGAAAAGGTGACATGGAGGGTGTCATTAAATCCATGTAAGCATCTTTGACATGCTGGCATATCCACATCAGCCGTTCCAGTTAAGTTAACGTGCCATGCGAGCAAAAATTAACGGAAGGACCAAAAAGGGGCCGGATTTTAAAATTTAGGGATCAAAAAGGGGATTTTTTCGGTATAGGGACCAAAAAAGGGCTTTTTCCTATAGTAGAGGGACCAAAAAATGTATTTAACCTTTAATTAATATCAAAATTAGTTAATTCTAGATTTAATTTGAACGTTTCCTTTTCTTTTATTTCTTTCTTTGATTTTTTTTTTCTTTTGTTTTTGTTTTTGTAGGTTAATTATGGATCGAATGGTCATAGACACTGATATGAGTTATCACTATCTTGCTCTAGAGATAAGGGCACAAGTTGAAGCAATAACTATTAATGGGGAAGCAGAAATTGACGATGATGAACTTGAACGATTTCAACTAGTCATCAAAAGGCAGAAATTAAAGAAGGCTCTAATAGAACAGTTAAATATCACTTGTCAACGGTGTGGATTTGATCATTTTAGTTCTGATTGCTATTGTAAATGATTTAACAAGCGTATTGATTTTTATAACCAACAGTATAATTCTTATCTCAATACATGCAACTCTGATTGGATAAATTATTCAAACTCCTCATGGAATAATGAACATATATTGGAGCCATAATCAAGTTTTCAAGATCAAGAAGAGGAGACATGTTTGGATAGAAATTTGGAAGTCCAATGAAGTTAATCATTCAACTTTGTTGCTGAAGAAATACAAGGTGAGTTACCTAGTGCAACAATGAAAGTCAAGAAGAAGAGGTAAACACCTTACCCTTGGAGATTGGAGGACAACTTGAAGAAGTGGAAAGCATACTTGCAGAAACTAAACAAGATAAACTCCCTAACGAAGAAGAGGAAAAAGCTCAAGTGTCATTTGAAATGTTCAATGGGGAGTCTTCATTAACCAAATATGATTTTAATGATTATTTGTTGTTGATATGGTTGAAGAGATTTTGCAAAAAAACACTTATGAGAATCCATTTGAGATTTACCTTATTCAAGCAAAGGACTCAATCAAAGAATACATAAATTGTTTGAACACATCCTCATCTTCCTTGGAATCAAAGGGGGCTATCCTAGAAGTATTGGGAAGGCACATTTCTTGACCTAAACCCAAACCACTTCAAAATAGTCATTGGAGAAAATCTTATGGTGGATTCAACTTAAAGGCAAGGAAGCCAAAATTTAAGAAAACGAGAGGACATGCCCTACGACCTAATCCAAAACCACCTTAGAGTGGTAGAAAGTCTAGCTAATGATTATAAATTAAGCACTTCTTGGGAGGCAACCCAAGCATAAAATTTTCTTTTCTTTTTTTTTTTTATTTTTCTTTTATAGTTTAGATTTTCTTTTAATGTTTTTCTTTTTATAGCCCAAGTTGATGCATAAATGTGGAGAAACTAACATCTCACTAAAAGGTGAATTTATTTCATTAGTTGAGTATCTTAGTTTATAAATTGTTGTTCTTTGATTTTGGCCAGGTCATTGAACAAGTTTGGGGGACAAGATTATGGAAATTCACACGTTAGAAGTCTCCTCTAATTGAAGACAACTCGACTTCATAACTTAAATTTTAAGTTTTCAAGTGCAAAATCTGGGAAGTTTCTCTTTTCTCTTTTCTCTTTTCTCTTACTTTTATTTTGCATTGAGGATAATGTTTGATTTAAGTTTGGGGGAGAGAATAACTTTTAAGTATCCATTCTTACGTTAGTTTGCATTCATATTTGAATGGCATTTTTTTAAAATCTTTTTTAGAAATTAAGTTTTTTTTTTTAGGAGTTGGTCCAATTAGTGTCAAGGAATTGAATATTCTTGTGTTGAAAATTTAAAAACTTCTAAATCTTTAAATCTTAGAGGAGATACAAAATCTGAAAAATAACACCATTGTAATGAAGTTTAAGTTCATGAGTATTCTATTTTACTTGAGCACAAGTTTATAGTGAGAAGTTTAGAGAGAAGACTTAGTAGCATCTAAAAAGCACATAAAAAAAAAAAAAGAGAAGAAGAAGAAGTCAATACAAAAGAGTTTGTTAATTTCTACTCCAATGTTTCTAGTTGCTTAGTAACTAGGGGTTAGGCATAAGACCCATGTCAACTTTCACGTCAAACGATGAATTGAAATATGAGTATGCAAGGCACTTTGAGTTTATAACTTGTTGAGTAACCAGGTGCTTTCATTACAAATGTTAGTATTTGCATCAAAAGACAAGTGATAACTTAGGGAAGAATGTGTTGTGTGGTTGAAAAAAAAAAAAAAAGAAAGAAAGAAAGAAAGAAAGAGAAGTTGAATGATTCGTGGCCTTTGTTACTTAGTAAGTATGTTCTTAGGGGTATCTCTTCACCTAATGCCATAAAGCCAATTGGTTTGTGAATCATTAACAAAAAACTCATTACATGAGTAACTTAGAAAGCCTAAGGAAACTCGACATAACAAAAAAAAAAAAAAAAAAAAAAAAAGAGGGGAGAAAAAAAAAGAGTAATAAATGCTAAGGTGTGAAGATCTAAACTTGAGACTTCTTACTAAGAATTTCCACACACACACTAAGTGCTCATGAGCTAAATCTTTTAACAAAGTGGTGTGAAGAATAGGATGAGTATTTGACTTTAAGTAAGTATATGAAAACTCTAGAATATTTGAGACTTTGTATCTAAATGAATTTTAATTCCTAAATTTTTTTTGCATGCATATCATATATTTGCATTCTTGCATTAGGATTTTGTGGCTAGGTCTGCTAAAAACTCTCACGAGACACAACTCGTCCATTAGGGTGACCTAAGGGTTTAAAGGCTTGTTACACATGTTAAGTGCAATCATGATTCATATGAAAGTGAATTAGGTTTTATTTTCTTTTTATTTATTTGTTTTTTTATTTTACTCGAGGACGAGTAAAACTTAAGTTTGAAGAAATTTGATGAGCTGAATTTATATACATATTAATGTGAAATTGTTTCCTTGATATTTTTTATATTTGGATGAGTTTTATGAGATTTTATTTGATTTTATATAATTTTTATTCTTTGTATAGGAAAAGACTTAATTGGAAGAAATCATAATTTTTAAGAGTGATTGCAGAGATCAGAAACTTGAGGAACAACTTGTGCAGAATCCAGAATTCAGTTACCAGGATTGTATTTTACCATTACAGAAATTGCTAAGAAGGCCAACAACCTGACACGGTGATGGCATTCTGCGCTGGACAGAAGGTGTCGGCACCTTGTTGAAGGTGTTGATGCCGCACGCAATTTTCACTAATTTATTATTTTAAGTGTGGATCCCACTTCTATTCCACTTAGGATTTCTAAAATCCTATAAATACCCATCCAAATTCAGAATTGGAGAGCTTGTGGAGGTTAGTGGCAGCCCTCTTTTGGGCATTCTTGGAGATCAAGATAGATGATCCATTAAAAATAGAAGATCAATGAGTTCAATTTCCTTAGATTAGGTTTATTTTTCCTTTGATTTTTTTTATCTATTGTTTGACATTCAAATGTTCATAAATACAATTTTAGGTTTTATTATTTTTATTATAAACTAATTTATTCTACTAGGGCTACGATGTAGCCTAATCAATTCAATATAGATTCTATGATTTTATATTTTTAATTAAAGTTATTGGCATAATGAGTTTATATTATTAAACTTAATGCATTGGAAGCTTGATCACCTTTCAATTGATTTAGTGATTTATGCATGAACTTGAGAAAGAATTGCATAAATTAGACTAGTAATAATATAAATTGTGTGCTAGACTATGAGACCGAGAGATAATTAGCTCACATGTGGTAGTGGAGGAAGAGAAGAGAGTTAGGAGATCTTCCTTCTTAAGTTAGAGGTTCCAATAGAATTTAATGCTTATTAGTTTGTTTAAAATTACATAGAGATAAGATTAATTTAACAAACAAGTAAAGGATTAACTTGATTTGAGAAAGTTAGTTAATTAATTTAGGGAAATCCACCATCACATGCAATAACACTTAATAAATTGGTTTTGAAAGTATATTAATGTAGAGTTTATATTGATTGATTATGGTGAAATCAATGCCTTAGTACCTCATATCTTGATTAACTTTATTTTAATTGCTAGTTTCCTTTTGTTATTTTTTTATTAAACTTTCTTCCTTTTCAATAATTCAAATAAATTTAGATTAATTATTTTGGTACTTAATTAGACACAATTCTCCTGGGTTTGACACTCTATTCATCATTATATTACTTGAAACGACTAGTACACTTGCTAAAGTAATTTTAGTGCATCAGATATATATGGTTTTATCCCCTTCATAAGAAATCTGATTTCTTTGATGTGTTTCAGAAATATTAGAAAATGGTAGCAATTCAGTTTAACAAAAATATACAGATATTTCAAAGTGATGGTGGTGGTGAATTTTCAAACAAGGTGTTTACCAATTACCTAGGTGAGTGTGGCATCAAACAACAAATGTCTTGTCTTGGCATGTTGGGCAAAATGGGATTGTAGAGACAAAACATCAGCATGTAGTTGAGACAGGTTTGACAATGCTAATTCATGCTAACATGCCACCACGCTACTAGGTAGATGGCTTTTCTACTGTTGCTTTTCTTATCATCAGAATGCCTACACCTTTGCTGCAAAATAAGAG